GACCTTTAGCTCTGTAATCAGCAAAGCTCAAGCTCCCTGATGATGATAAAGCTCTGGCTCTGCCTTGGCAAGCTCTGGCTTAGCAGGGGGATTGTTGGAACTCTGCGAAAAGGTCACTCTGCAGCATGTTGGCAGGAGACAGGCTTTCTACTCGTGTGGCTGCTTTGTAAAGAAGGCAAGCTGTAAGACTTTGGCCACCTTGGTTTGATGCACCTGAAATGTATGTAGCCAATCTAAGCTAAAAGTTCAATTGGGCTTTAAAGGAGAACTATGGGGTTAAGGCTTTTCCCCATAGTTCACCTTAGGGTAACAGGAGGACACAAACTAGCGTCCTTCCGTCACCCTAGGCTCAGTATACCGCGAGCGCCGCAGTATACTGCGAGCTGCTGCTCGCGGTATCCGGATGAGCCGCAGCTGAAGCGGATCCTGACAATTATGCCGGGATCCGCCCAGCTGCGTGAGTGACAGCTGGCTCTGCCTATATAGAGGCAGAGCCAGCTGTACCCGCCCCCGTCCGTTCCGCCAGTCAGCACTGGTGGAGCGGGGAGGGGGGAATTCAGCCCCTCCCTTGTCACGGCAGAGAGCCGTGACAGGATCGAGAGGAGAGCGAATGCCGGTATGTGTTCAATAAAAAATGAATCAGAAGCGCCAAACGTTGACCAACAAATGAAGGATAGTTGCGGGTGAGGATTACTAGGGGTGCTGCCCCACATCAGCCTGGGAAGCTGCAATACCTCCGCCGGTATGTGTTCACTCACCTCCCGATCTACTGAGCCGACCTGTGACAGTCTCATTGTCACAGGTCGGCTAGAACTATGAGGGGAGTGAAAAGCACTCGTCTCATAGTTCTCCTTTAAGTCACCTTTTTGCTTTGCCCTTTATGAGCAAAGTAAAGTGTTATCATAAAACAGCACAGTTTTTGTTCAAGTAACACATGCATTTTGACTGTGGTTTCTGCAAAGTACAATGCCAGCTTTTTTCATTAGTGATGTACTTGCTGCTCTAGGCCATTGTGAATGAAATCATAAATCCTGTGGGACACAATTGAGTCTGTGTCTGAAACAGACCAGGCAGAGAGAGAACTGTTCCTGTGCCCAGATGCCGCAGCGATTTGGACAGCTGTCACTTACATGCCAGTTGCAGGCGGTATTAAGCTGAGTCTTCATGAAGGTACATTTCTGGGTGTAGGAACTAAATTATTCACCTTTAAGCCATTCCTGTAGCTGTTTCTGTGCCAGCAAATTTGCCCCCGCAGGAATGTACCTTCTCTCTTCAAAACACGGATGACCTTCAGTTTAGGGCAGGCGAGGACGCTACGCAGTGAATTCAAATGACTCGGAATCCACACATTACATTTCCGGTGATTAGGATTCTGGAGCGCTGTAGTTGTCCGGCTTGAAGGAGGCCTGCAGAGCTGTTTTAATTCATAAAAACGATGGAAAAGTTTTCTGTGCAATTTGCAAGGATCCCTTTCAAGGTTATGTACAACATCTGCTCTTCATTTTTTATTTGCAGGCTATAAAATGAGAACATCTGGAAATGACTCCATTCAGGGACCAATATTTCTGGACTGCTCTAAACAGCCTGCTTACATTAATTTCTAGGTGATCTTAACACATCGTGTAACATTTTCAAACAATATGCTATATGTTTTTGTTTTTTAAAGTGGACCTAAAATCAGAAGATAAAATCTATCCTTTATGGAGTATCTGTACTATCCTTTAGGGAACAACTAGTAATGTTAAATTTGTCTAAACGGTGTGCTGGAAATTTACCCTTTGCCTTAAATTCCTAAAAAATAGCAGTGCACTCTTGTGGCTTGAGCCTCATAGCTATATGTCTGCAGTGAGAGATCTAAGGCACTGCTGCCTGTATCTGCTAGTCTCACCGGAATTGGAGTTAGATTTGGTGATATCACTACTGTGCTGCTCACTGTTCTCCTTTCTGCTTCTGTTTCATCTGTTCTTTGGCTCTGTGCTCCTTTCACCTCTTCTGCTGCTCTTGATCATAACCCCACAACTCATTAGATCACCAGTCATTGGAAGGGGGGGCGGGAGGTCTGACATGAGGAAGGGAAGCCTTGTTCTTTTGCCAAGACAGAGTACAGGACAAGGCATGGCAAGTCCGTAAAGGGAAAGATTGGCTGCAGGGAGCATTGGTGACTAGTCCTTTGTTCTCTGCCTGCAAAGGGCAAAACTTTTTTTGGGCACAACTTCCACAGTTCAGGCCCTCTAGAACTACCCGGGACTTGGTCCGTCTGTAAAGGGCCAAATCTGGGCAATAATAGACTGCCAAAACCGTGCTAAAGTCAAAAACTCCATTCGGTTTACCTTTTAATCCTGATATCATTTTGTGCAGTCTGCTTTGAGCAGGCTTTTCATGATGTTTCTTGGTAAGACATAGGATTCTGTACTTTCAAACTTCCCTCCCTGAGAACTGGTGGGAAGCACTTGTGGTACATTACATAACACAAAACATGTAGGTACTAGGGATGTACCGATACCGGTTTTTCGGTATTGAGTACCAATATTATATGCTCCCTCGTCACCTGATGACGAGGGAGCATGGAGCTGGTATTCTGGCCAATCAGGAAGCCGGGGGGCAGGTTATGACTCGCCGCCCAGCTTCCTGATTGGCCAGCTTCCCAACCAATCAGGAAACCGGGCGGTGAGTCATTACACGGCCTCCGGCTTTCTGATTGGCCGGGAAGCCGGCTCCATGCTTCCACGTCACCAGGTGACGAGGAAGCATGGAGCCAGCTTTCTGGCCAATCAGAAAGCCAGGGGGCAGGTAATGACTCTGTGAGTGATATCAGCTTAGTGAAGCACAAAAGAGAGCAGGCAAGGAGAATTCTGGCATTATCAATGTCCTTATTGCACATCTGCTGATTTTTCTTACAAGCAGCATTTTTCCTTTCCATTGACATTTTTTCATGCAATGTGCCTTTGAACTTGCTAGCAAATTTGACTACTCCAGGAAGAGTCAGTTCCCTAGCACAGTCCCCTTTCTTGTTGCACATCATAGTCCTCTTCTCGGCGTGTCTGATTTACTGTCTGCGCTTAGCAAGCTCGTCACTGCTATGCCTGATGAAGGGATCCTGTGTGGTCCCGAAAGCACTTCTGTATTTGACATAAGTTTTGAATAAATTCACGATTGACTATCCTTGAAGTCTGGTGTGCTGGTGACATCTCTATATTATCTGTAATTGGCAGCGCCATCCGCGGTCATTCCAAGCACCCTTCCCCATATTCGGGGTTGTCCGGTAAGGAGTGCAACAAACCTTTCTCTTCATATCATGGTAGCAAACTCCTCTGCCCCTCCCTTCACCTCTCTACATAACCTTTTATATAGCAGCTGGGGAAGAGCAAAGGTGAATACTATAGAGTATTACTTGAGTGACAGCTCTGCGTCTGCTGGGATTGCTGACATCACATGGCGGTACCCAGCAGCAGTCTCAAGGCTTTTAAGGATGGCAGGCTTTTCAAGGTAAATGATATTAAATACATGTATGATCCTATGGAAAGATTGTTGAAATAAATGGTCTGGCGACAGGTTCTCTTTTTAAGGTGCCCATGGACTGTAGAACAAGTATCTTGTGGGTTTTTTGCATTGCACTTGCAAGTTACCTTACGAGAAACAATAGTAATCAACAAAGTTCATATACTTGTCCAGTTAATCTCTCCCCTCCCCTTAGAGCAACCGGTCAAGGGTGCCAAGTGCAGCCACAGACATAACATTGCCATCTGCCCCCCCATTAAAACAGGTCCACAATGTCTTTGCCAGCTTTACATAAAAGAAAAAAAAAAACCACACAAATACTAAAAGATTTATTCCTCCTCTTTTTGCTTCCACAGTTGGTTCATGAACCTTTTTTTGTATTTCTTAACCATTGCATCAGCCGGAATCAAAGGCTATAATTAAAATGGCGCAGACATTGCACCCTTTACCATTATTGTCGGTTGTATTATGGTCAATTTGAAGCCAATGGCTGTCTGTGAAGTAAATGAGAGTAGCCAGTGTAATTGGAGGCCCAGTCTCATTCATTGTTCCTATACCGGTTAATGAACAAGAGTGGAGTCATGTTGTAATGTAGTATCCCCACAAGCCTGCTGCCCTACTGATCTCCCTGAAATTGAATCAGCACATACAGCAAGCCCCACGGGCTCAGATGTAGTAAATAGTTCACATGACAAATCCAACCGCATCACTTTATGACTACAAGCCAAACGGACCTCTTGTAAACTATATCAGTTTGGGGGTCACTTTTATTTATTTTTTTAAATTTAAAACTGATATTTTAAATGTTCACCTAAACTTCAGCAAGATGGATTTTTAAAATGTACTGCACAAAAATGTTTTTAAAAAATCCCATAGACAAGAACTGTTCATGGGGATTGGCACAGAATCTTCCACATAGTGCCATCAGTTTTATTGCTGTGTAGGTTTTGCAGTGCAGTATATTCTGTTGTAGAGCTGCAGTTAATTAGATTCCCCTTCAGCTGGCCTGTCCTGTAAGGCCTCATTCACACGTACTGCGTGCACGGCTGTATCGGGCAGCTCCCGGGAAGGACAGGTGCTGCGTGTGATTAGTGCGCAGCCCCTGTCCTTCTCAATGGGAGTACTCTGCCGTATGCCGCCCTATGCTCACCCGCCCTGCACGTCCGTGCGGGTGTCCATACTCATAAGCTGACAGGATGGATCCTGTGTGCGTCCGAGCCGGGACGCCCGCACCCATACGGACCTGCACTTGGGGTGAGCGTAGGGTGGCGTACAGCCGTGTAGTCCCATAGAGAAGGACAGGAGCTGCATACTAATCGCACACAGCACCTGTCATTCCCGGGAGCTGCCCGATACGGCCGTGCACGCAGCACGGAGCTGTACGTACCGGCTTTTTCTCGTATGAATGAGGGCTAACCGTTACTTTCTCAGCAACAAGGATGCAGAGTGAATGGTCTTTGACTTGTACTTATCTGTAATGTATTTTTTTTTTTTCTTTTCAGGAGAGTGAAGACGCAGTAAAAGTATTAGCAAAGGAAAAAGATCTATTGGAACGGGAGAAGTGGGAGCTTCGTCGCCAGGCCAAGGAGGCTACGGACCATGCCAGCGCCTTGCGATCGCAGTTGGATTTAAAGGAGAATCGAATCAAAGAACTTGAAGCTGAACTTTCAATGGTGAGATATCCATTTAACTCGTATTCTTGCAAATATATATTTGAAATAGATTTGAAGCCGTTCTGTCATTAAAATAATAGTGCATATAAAGTAGGTGTCTGTAAAGAAGCGAATGCTTACCTCCTGCCGTCTGCACCTCTGAACGCTTCTCCAATCCAGAGAATTTGATTGCTAAACCTCCTTTAAAAACTGACATTTCGTGTAATGGTTCTCCTGATCCCCTGCTGCACTCAAGCATTTCATTCTGCCGACCCCCATGTAATTACAGGACACCTTAGTGATATGGGAGACTCCACTGAGCACAGCAGGGGTCAGGAGATTGACACTCAAGGATGTGTTGGTTCCTCTGGGTTGGAGCAGCATGGTTAGGTTGGACAAGAGTAGGTATTACACATAACACTTTGCAAATGTACTAAAACATTTATCATTGGAAAAAAGCATCTTCCTTCCCTGTATGTCTACTTAATTACAGGTTTTCTTTAACACAATGTAAACTCTGTAATGTAATTCACTCTACAGCTGTGACTGGGCTGCATCTTCTTTAAGGCCAAGCCAATTGCGTTTGTCTGTATGGAAGCTGTAGATCAGTAACACCTCCCGTAGCGCACGTGTTATTTGTGTTCTACATATTTTATTCCACCTGTATTTTCATATTCTTGAAATGCTGACAGACATGCTAATAAAGTAAAGAGCTGACGGCAGCTTTCTTGTTTCTTGTTTAATCATGCTTTTTATAATCTCTCTCTACAAGGTATAAAACCTTAATTGTAGCACCAGATCCTCCTTCTGATGTAGGGAAGAAAGTCAAGCCATAGAGAGCTCATTTAAAGGAAACATGTCTTGAGAGAAACATGGGGACAGCCACTGCTGACTTCTTCTCCGCCTCCTACTTTCATCTTATCCTTCTGGCTTCACTTACCTAGAACCAGTACACAGATCAAGAATCCTGATCTGCATACTTTAAGGTTAGGGAAGCTAGGGGGGCAGCATAATAGCCAAGATAATGGCATTTTCAGTAGGAGATCAGCAATGGCTGCCCCTTTATTTCTCTCTTGATGGGGTTACGATTAAACAACCCGTACTTGTGATCTGAAAAGATTCTGAATGTGAAAAGATTTGAATTCTGTAGAGGGGAAGATGGATAGATCACAGCATGGGAAACACTTGGCCTGTAGGCACAAAGAGTACAGCGAGTGACTAGGAGAGGGAAGAGGTACATTTTGGCACGGCACACCTCTCTGCCTGTTAGTCTGGCAATCTACTGACTATATTTTCATTTTCTTACAATAATTTTTTTTTTGTTTTTACTGGCAATGCACGCAGGTGGTCATATAAAGTGACAGCCTTTATAGTGTGGTGGCAAAAGCAGAAATGATACAACTCCTGGCAACCATTCAGACTAATCTCCTCACAGTTTAGCATGCAATAAAAGTATAATGAAGGTATGTCTGTGAAGGATCTCTATTGGTATAGCCAGTAGTAGTTAGTCACATTCAAGTGGACTTATTCTATAATGTCAAAGACATTGTGTAGCTTCTCCAGACCACTTGTTCTGTTCTGATAAGCGTCAGGAAAATACTACACCATTTATATCCACACAGGTAGCACAGGCCCCTTAATCCAACACCTTGGAAAGGCAGTTGTTGGTTGTCCAAGAAGAGGATGGAAGGTGTGAAAGTTGTGGAATGACCCTGTTCTAGTCACATAATCTCCTCTTTGGGGTCAGGAAATCTGCATAGGTGTTAAAACCTTCAATTTACATGGCCGAAGGGGTGATTTTTCCAAAACTCAAGGTTAGAGATAATGGGAGACAGATAATACCCTTTTTGTCTGTGTGCTACATTTCAAGGATGGGGGTGACTTGGACAATGAGCTCTACAGAAAACCTACACGCACAGACCAGTATCTGCTTTTTGACTCCCACTGCCCACTGGGACACAAACTGGGGTAATTTGAGCTCTGCAACATCAGGCTGAGATGGTAAAAACAGAGAGAAGGGAATTTATCAAAACTGGAGCAGACAAAATCTGAAGCAGCTCTGCACGGCAACCAATCCGCTTCTCTTTCATTCTCAAATCCTAACTGACCAGATTGAAGAGAGAAGCTGATAGCTGTGCATGGCAACCAGCTCCAGACTATTCTGCTCCAGTATTGATAAATTCCTCCCAGAGTGTCTAAAGACACAAAAAAACAGAAATTTCAGCAGAGCTTTGAAAGTTTGTGGCAAACCAGACTAGGCTTTCATTAAAACAAGGTCAAGCAAAAACACGGGATCATCGATCAGAGGGGAGAAGCAGAACACGCGTAGTAATATAGTCATCCCATATGTAGCAAGAGTGTTGGAAAAGCTCAGAAGGATCTTTAACAAACTTGCATCTCTGTGTCTTTTACGCCAAGATATACACAGACATAAGCTTGTATATCCAAAAGACTGAATACCCAAACACAAGCGAAGTAACTTGGTATACGCAAAGGAGTAAAGAATGCAAGGACCTGTACATTGGAGAAACAAAGCAACTTCTCAACAAACAAATGTCCCAGCATAGAAGGGCAGATTCTACAAAACAAAACTACACCTTAAAGAGACAAAACATCCTCTTAACAAACCAATGGCCCAAAATAAACGAGTAATGTCCACAAGACAAGACTACATTTTAAAGAAAAGGGACATCTCTTTTGATGGCAGAGAGGTGCACATTTTGAACAGCTTTGACAACTTGTTTGCAAGAGGCATGAAAGAGTCCATCTATGTCAAATTGGAGCAATCATCCTTGAACAGGGGTGGGGGCCTTTGTCACTATCTGTCTCCCACATATAACACCATTTTTATGTTTCTAAACCCCAATGTTATGGCAAACAATTTACCCCTTCAGCCATGTAAATTCAAGGATTAACACCTATGCATACTGACGCCAAGGATAAGATTATGTAACTAGAACTGCACTTGCACACCCCTTATCCTGTTCCTGTGTAATCAGCATCTGTCTTTTTCCACGGTGATTGGATCAAGGTGACTTAAAGGAGAACTATGAGGTGAGTGCTTTTCACTCACCTCATAGTTCTAGCCAACCTGTGACAATGAGACTGTCACAGGTCGGCTCAATAGATCGGGAGGTGAGCGAACACATACCGGCGTTCGCTCACCTCTCGATCCTGTCACGGCTCTCTGCCGTGACAGGGGAGGGGCTGGATTCCCCCCTCCCCGCTCCGATCCGCCAGTGCTGACTGGCGGAACGGACGGGGGAGGGGGCAGGTACAGCTGGCTCTGCCTCTAGATAGGCAGAGCCAGTAGTCACTCACGCAGCTTGGTGGATCCCGGCACAATTGTCGGGATCCGCTTCAGCTGCGGCATCTCAATGCAGTATACTGAGTCTAGGGTGACGGGAGGACGCTAGTTTGTGTCCTCCCGTTACCCTAAGGAGAACTATCGGGAACAGCCCTGACCCCATAGTTCTCCTTTAATGTGCTTTAAAAGCTTCAAAAATGCTGCTTGTACCTGGTTAGAAAGCTTTGCAAATACTTTGTAAAAGCTGTCTGCTCTTTCACATACCAAAGACCTTTTACAAACAGGCTAGGCCCTCAGCCCCTCTGTCTTGCTGCCCATAGAAGGCTGCTGTGGCCCACCTGTATAAGAAGTAACTTACTTAGATTTCTGATTGCCCATGTTGGAAAAAACTGCTGCATCTCTGCTCCCCAGATGCTCAACCACTGGATGAGTTGAATGCTTGCTTTCCCCTGCCGACTGCTATGGTCCTTCCCACTGGCTTGTATATCACTACTGGCCGTTTGAGCCAGTGGGAAGGGCCACTGCAGTTGGCCGGGGGAGCAAGCATTCAGCTTTTCTGATGATGAAATGCCTGCAGCATCTAAGGGATCAACAATGCAGTGACTTTTCAATATGGGCTGCCAGAAAGTCAAGTGTATTAGTTCTTTTTTTACAGGTGGCCTATAGAGTAAAAGTTATGCAGCGGTGACAGTCACCTTTTAGTGCCTCCTTATAATATCAGCTTGAGCTTGATTGTAAATGGGTGCTTGATTGTCCCTACTGGCCAGCTCTGGAGCTTTAGGCCAGAGAGCAACTTTGCCTGCAGTGTAACCCCCAAAGGAGCTATTTTTCTGAGAACTTAATCAGAATGTCTACTGGTGATCCATATTAACTCCGAGATAATTGGAGCTCAGTCGGTTTGTAATAAACCAGCATTGCGTGCAATTATCCTTGTAATTAGTTTGGCTCCTGATTCTTTTCTACATGGCTAAAATTGTGTGTTTTTATGGCATCCTGTCAATCGTGCCTAACATTATTTTTTTTAAAACAAACTGAAATTACAGCCTCGATTTTTATCTTGCCAAATGAGCTGTAGCCTTCCGTAGAGTCGCCCACAGATTTTAGATGGCAGTCAGGTCATTCTGCTTTTAAGTTTTTCAAAAGCCGCATAAACATGCTTGCAGCTTCTACCCGCCGACAATCATACGATTCTCGGCGGGTTTTCAAGCCTGCTCGGGAGACAGAAGACGTGCGACCGTACAGTAGAAACGGTCGCACGCCATCCATACACCTGCCGATTATTGTACGATTGCGGGATCACCAGCGATTATCGTACGATAATCGGCAGGTGTATGGGCACCTTAACTTGGGAGGGACAGTAGGTTGTCTAGCTAAATTTCCAACCTGGCGAAAAGCCGCCCCCCCCCCCTCCCCCTTCCAATTAGGGAGCACTGCTAGGAAGTCCATTTGACTAGACATGTCATTATGGTATATTAGCGTCTACATGTGGCCCTTGACTGGTTTTACATTTATCTTGGATGTGGCCCCAAACAGTTTTGTAACTCATTAAGGGATAACTGTACAAATAAAGTATAATCATATTTGAGCATTTGCCATGCCTTTTGCTATCTTAACTGTAAATAATTACTTTGGCAGTCCAGCTAACATACCATTTCTCCACCTTTGTTTCCTATAACTGGTGTTATCCATGTCCATGTGCACAGGTGTGATCCAC